TGATCTTCCTGCCTCAGCCTCTCAGAGTACTGAGATCACAGGTATGCACCATCATCCCCAATCCAGAAATCATAAAATTTTCCATATAATGGTATTTGCTGTACTCAGAAGTCACAGTGTCTGGGAAGAGAGGAACAATTGACTAGTTTTGACAGGAGTATGGCACACAGCTCTCAGTGCTGCTGGTGGGGGGTGTGGGTGGAGGACCCTGCAGAGCTTCGGAAAATGGCCCGGTGGAGTTTGCCGTCATCTTGAGCAGCCCATCTGAGGTTGGATGAATGAGTTCTGTATGGCAGCAGTGGTGGCAGTTACACAGCCTTGTCAAACTCATGAAGCTATGTACTGGAAGGGGTGAATTTTGTTGCACATAAATTACATTTTAATTTTTAAAAAAGTTTACTTTGGCTCGAGGCTCTGGTCCAATGTGGAGGATCACATAGATGTCCTTGTTGATGAGGCCCTGAGACAGCACCCACCGTCACATGGCAAGAGAGTGTGTTTGTGTGAGCCTTCACTCTTTGCCCTCCCTTCCCCCTCTGTGTCCCCCTCTACTTCCTCTTCCTCCCCCTCCTCCTCGCCTTTCTTCCTCACCTCCCTCCTCTTCTTCCTCCTCCTTTGAATCAGAATCTTCCAGGCCTCAAACGGCTTGACTCAAGTGATCTCCTACCTCAGCCTCCTGCGTAGCTGTGTCTACAGGTCTGTGCCACTGAACCTAGCTATACCTTCATATTTTTAATTTAAAAGACAGTTTTTAAAAAAGCCAGGTACAATGGTGTACACCTGTAATCCTAGCTCCATGGAGGGTGAGGCAGGAGGGTCACAAATTCAAGGGCAGGCTGGGCAACTTAATGAGACTGTCTCAAAATTAAAAAAAAAAAAAAAGCCCAAGGATATAGCTTAGTGATGGAATACCCCTTGGTTCAATCCCCAATATTGAAAAAAATAAAAATAAAACAGAAGACAGCTGGGGATATAGCTCAGTGGCAAAGCACTTGAGTGGCATGTGAGTCCCTGGATTTGATCCCTAACACCAAAAATATTGATTAATTAATTTTAATTTAAAAAGAAAAAAAATAGAATGAAATTCAATCAAAGGGCATATCTATCCGCATCATGCAGTAAGCTACGACAGAGAACAAACTTGCTGAGTGAGACAGCTTGATGCCTATCATGCTGGGTGAAAACCTGGGCGGAAAGTATTAGCGGTGAGATTTCATTTCTGGGAAGTCTGTCAACACACAAAGCCACACTGTTATGATAAGAGGTCAGAAGAGCGGCTTCCTCTGGAGCAGGAAGGACTGAAGGACACAAGGGGTTCCTGAGATGCTACAAGGGTCCTCTCCCCCTGGCTATGGCCTGCTCTTCTGGCCCACACCCCATGCTGATGATGCGTGCCTTTGATGAAATGCTGAGTATGCCTTCAATTTTTGACCCTCCCCCCCCTTTTTTCGGCTTTGCACTGAGCAACATCCCCAGCCCTTTAAAAAAAAACAAAAAACAAAAAAACAACAGGGTCTCTCCAGCCACTAAGTTGACCAGGCTGGGTTTGAACATGCAGATGTTATCCTCCTGTCTCAGCCTCCCCAGTAGCTGGGAGGATAGGATACATTACTGTTAAACATTGTTACTGCAGAGGTTACTGGGTGAGCAGTTCGGTCAGTGACTTGCATGAAAACCTTTCCCACTTCCTAGTCTCCCCCCCATGCGCCCCACCCTCTGCCCAGCCAGCTCCCTGCACCCCAGTGCCCAGCTCCACAGTGCCCGTGCAAGTGGCACATGGCTGCCCCACAGACTGAAATTCCTGCCCCACCCCAGCCACAAAACAAACTTCAAAGCTGGCTGACAGCCCAGGGTTTAAACGGCCTGCCTGCCTGATCCACTTCCCCCTAGGAGCATCCTGGAAGAGATACAGCTTCCCTCCCTGGAGGGAGGTTTGTGGGGCACCTCTGCCCCATCCCCTGAGTGTTCCAGGGGCACAGAGTCAGACCTGAGTAGAGCCAAGAGCTCCGACAGCTGCCTTCGCCCTGCCCTCAGGTGAACGCTGCCAGCTCCCTGCCTCTTTGTGTGTGGAGGGGAGACTTCTGTCTCCTGGCTGCAGCAAGTGCCTTTTTGCTCCCCACCATTTTTTTTCCAGCAAAATGAGCTCATGCCTTCCCGGGAGCCAAGGGGACTGTATGTAGAGCAGGCAGGGTGGTGCATGCCTAGAATCCTAGCAGTCAGGAAGCTGAGGCAGGAGGATTGCCGTAAGTTTAAGCCCAAGACTGGTGACACAGAGTTCAAGGTTATCCTAAACTATATAGCCAGATCCTATCTCAAAAACTCAAAGAGTAAGACCGAGCATACCGAGTGTCTGTTTCAGCCAGACAGCAGCTGACCGATGGTGGCTTATGATAGGAACAAATGTGGCCTCAGACGCCAGCATCTGGCTGGAGATCTGGGCACGTGGCCTGACTTAGTGGGAGGATGACAGTGACAGCAAGGCAAGCCAGCCCCAGTCCCTTGGAGGTGGAGCGTGAGAGTCCTGGGCCTGCCTCAGCGCCTGCTTACTCCTCTGCTGTGTGAGGTGGGGCAGTTGAGTGCTCTCCCTGAGTGCCTCCTGCCTGTAAAACCAGGAGCAAGGCCTCTGATAGCTGAGCTCTCAGGTGGGGCAGGCAGGTCTGAGCATGCTGCTGCCCAGGGCTCACTCTATCCCCTTCCCTCAATACCCTTCCTCAAAGGTCTAGGCCAAGTCTCTGTACTGCAAGGTTAGGTTGTTTTCTAGTGCTAGGGATGGGCCCTCTTGCATGGTAGGTAAGTGTTCTAACTCCTCTACACCCTTAGCCCAACGTTCCCCCCGCCTTTGGTGCCAGGGATCAAACTCAAGGGCTAATTCCACCCACCTGCCTTAGCCTCCCTAAATGCTGGGATTACAGGTTGGACGCCTATGCCTGGCTCCAATATTCATTGTGCTACCAGTGGCTTAGTCAGTTGAGGGGCCTCTGGAGCCCCTCCCTGAGCAGAGGCCCAGCCCCTCAAAACCATTCCTCACCCATGTCCACTTCTAGGGTGGGAGACAGAGCAAGTGTCCTTTAGACTCAGGCTCTGGAGTCCCCTGGTGTACTAGGAAATAGTCTACCTTTCCATCTGTAAAATGCAGCTGGCAACCATAGCACCTACTTCAGAACATAAACTTTCACAGGAAGTGCTAACCACACCTGAGGTGTACACACTGTGATGTTGTTCTCTGTGGCCAGGGATCAAACCCAGGACTTCATGCACCACCGAGTACAGCAGTCTGTGTGTGCCAGCAGCAGCAGCAGCAACAGCAGCACATTCATCCAGATGCCGGAGTCCCCACCATCCCACTGCTCACCGGGGCACGGGGCTCATCTGCAGTGAAGGGATTCAGAGAGGACTTCCTCATGCTCCTGGGTTTGGGCCTGGTTCTTCCAAATTGATCCCTTCCTGCTACTCTGAAGGGATCAATCTGGGGAGGGCCCAAATCTTAAAGGAATCTGCCAGGATTCTGCCTCTACCACCACGCTCCCATCATTGACCATTCTTCAGGAGTGATGGGGCCATTCTTGCTGTGGTATAGGGTTTAAGAAGAGTGAGCTCAGAGATGCTCAAGTAGTCAGGTAAAGTGAAGGAGGGGCTGAATCTAAAGTCTTGGCAGGAATGTCATGAAAGAGATGACCAACTGGGCATGGTATTACACACCTGGTAATCCTAGTGCTTGGAAAGCTGAGGCAGGAGAAGGGCCACAAGTTCAAGGCCACTCTAGGCTGAAAGTGAGCTCAAGGCTAACTGAACTACATAGTGAGAAACCCTCTCTCAAAAACACAAGAGGCTGAGAAAATAGCTCAGTTGCATAAGCGCCTGCCTGGCAAGCACGAGGTCCAAGTTTGATCCCCAGTACAAAAAACCCCATAAAACCAAGAGAGCTAGAAGGGAAACATGGGGAGAAATCATCAAGTCCCCTCTCTGGAGGTCTTCCAGCCGTGCTGACCAAGCCCATGGTCATGCCACCACTGGGTCTACTGTGGTCTTGTCAGGGACCCCCCAGGACACAGAGCTGGTTGGATTATTTGCTCACCAGTGCTTTATTGAACCAAGGTGCAAGCAACAGCTGAGCTACTGGGCCCTCAAGCACAGTCTTTCCCACGTCTTGAGATTCCAAATCCAGAGATTGCTGGGTCCTTGGTTTAACTGCTCTCATAACATTTCTTTTTGAATATTTCCAAACACTAAGTGTAAAGACTTCTGTCCACACAAAGAGACACATGTACACTCCTGCCGCAGGCTGTCATGTTCACCAAAGTGCTTCCACCCAGTTTGTGTGCACAAGTACGTGCAAGGCACCATGCATTCATGACCATTCATCCATCCATCTGTCTGTCCTTCCATCCATCCATCCATCCATCTGCGACAGGACAGCAGCAAATTCTGAGCAGTCAGGCTCAGGGTTCATGGCAGTGGGTGCTGGCCTTTGGGGGTGGGGCCTGACTCAGGTCTTAGCCTTTGCCCTGGATGCCCTCAAGGATGATGATGTCTTTTGCTGGGGCAACAAAAGCCAAGGCCAGGAAGGCAACTGATGTTCACATCTTGAACCCCAGCTGGATTGGGGAGCCCCACAGCCAGGGTGTGTGTCCTGAGACAAGTAAAATCAGACAAATCAAGCTTGCAGGTAACACTGCAATAGGAAAGAGTAAGAGCTTATGTTTATGCTAGAGGTGCTGTAAGGAAGGATAGGAAAGAGAGGAGAAAGGGACATGATAAACACGTGGTGCTTGCAGAAGGCAAGGGCAGCCTTAGCCTGGTCAGTGCTCAGGGGCAGGGGGCTGGCTGCTGGCTCCCAGGCCATGACAGAGCTCACCTTCAAATCATCAGAGGCTGTAGCTCCCCCAGCCACACACACACACACACACACACACACACACACACAGAGAGAGAGAGAGAGAGAGAGAGAGAGAGAGAGAGAGAGAGAGAGAGAGAGAGCGCGAGAGCGCGAGAGCGCTCTGCTGGACACAGGAAGACAAAGAGGCAACTCAGACAAGAAAGAAAAGCCAAAAGGCCCTGCTGAACACCAAAAACTTGCTCTGAGCTGGCACAAACCACCAAGCAGGGGTGACAACAGGGTGTGGAAAATGACTGGAGGGAGACAAAGGGAATTAGGGACAGGGGCAGACAGCAGGGCAGCTGTGCTGTCTTCCCCCAGCTAGCACCTGGGACCTCTAGCAGGTCCTTGGGACACTGGCACCCAGGCCCTGTGAGGCAAGAAAGGTGGCAAGACTGGTGCTTGTGCCTCACTGGTCCTGCAGCCGGCTGCAGAGCTCCCGCCGGCTCCGCTCCCCAGCCCAGCTGCGAGTCTTGAGGCGGAAGGTCCTCAGCTCCTCCCTGAAGGCCTCGTGGTTCATGGGCCGGTAGTCCTGGGGCTCACAGAAGTTCTAAGGCAGCATGGGAGGAACAAGGTCATTTCAATGTGGGAGAGGTCATTTTCAGGGGGCACCTGGTCCTTCCCTGCAACAGGCCACTCTCACAGAGACCAGCCTTCCCCACTGTGGTACCAACCGGGTGCTGTGGGAAAAATTCCTTGTAGCCACCCTTGAGGATGTACATCTCAGGGTAGTAAAGACTTGGGTAGTCGTTGGCTGCACGATCACGTTCCCTGATGAATCGGCACCTGGTGGAGGTAGGGACAAAGATGAGAGCTGGGGTAGATCAGGGGCCTGGTTCTCTGCACCCCCTCCTAGGGAGGCCTTGGGGAGCCAGAGAAGGCTGCTGGGCACAGAAATGTCTACCACAAGATCAGCTGGCTACTGGGTAGGAGAGGCTGGGGTGAAGGCAGGAAGGAGACAGATCAAGGGGCAGTCTGTTTCTAGAAGACAGTTGTGCAATCTTCATAGAGCAATCTGTGGCCTGGAGCAGGAAAGGAAGTGGAGAAGTGACAAGTGGACAAATTTGATACATTCGAGGGCTCCAGACTCAGTGAGGCCCAAATTTGGGGAAAGGAAGGGAGGGATAAAGGGCTCCACACCATTGTCTGGTGACTGGTCCAGTGCCTGGCCAGGGTGGGAAGCTATGGGCTGGAATGAGCAAACGGAGAGTGGGGTAGAGGAGAGAGGAGGGCAGCAGGAATGAAGCCTCAGTGTAGAGCATCTGGGTGCAGACTGAGCCCAGAGTGAGCCCTGCAGAGAGGACTGGCAGTCTGATGGGCCTGGTGGCAACACAGGGTCAGGAGCAGATAACAGCCAGCTAGGGTAGAGTATGAAGGGAGACAGAGGAGACTTAAGAAGGCCTGGGCATTGCAGACATCAAGGGAACAGGCTCCCAGCAGAGAGCATGAATTCTGGAGAGTGAGCATCAGTGGCTAGGCACAGGACCCTTGGACTTTGAAAGGACCCTGCTGAAGACTTGGGACCAGACTTTGTATGAGTGGTAGATAGGCCTGACAGGAGGGACAATGACAGGTCTATGGGTGTGGGATGCCATGATCTATGGGTGAGGGGCCAGATCAGCTCTAAGCCATCAGAGCACGCAAGAGGCCCAGGCTATGGGGCTGGGCTCACACTCTGGCCACAACATGGCTCTAGCGCCTACAGGACTAGGCAGGGAACCAAGTGCAGGTACCAGCTGGCTGGGCAGATGGAGCAGGGACTCACATGCGGGGCCCACGCTCTGATGAGAACTCGCAGTGGAAAATCAGGATGATCCTCTTGTCCAGGCTACAGGCTGTGATGGGGCTCTGTAGCAGGAAGGTCTCGGCATCTCGTTCAAGGGGCAAGTTCACTGCAGTCTGTCAGAAGAGCAGGGGGGTCAGGCCCCCAGCCCATACCTGAGAGGCAGACCCCATCCTTTGCAGTCCCTTGCCTCCTGCTAGACGGGTCCCCCACGGGAGAAGGTAGGTACACTTGCTTCCCACTGACATAGCTCACCTTGATGTGCCCGCCTTCGTACTCATAGGGGTATCTGCAATCTACAATCACAAACTTCTCCACAATGTTGCTGAACTTGCCCATCAGTAGGGCCACCACCTGGAGAGCAGAATGGGTGTTTGGTGCTTTGCCCTCTGCTAGTCTGTACCTGCAATCTACTCCCAGAGAGGTCAGCAGCTAAACGTGGCATTTCATGCACCCAGGAGACTGGCTCAGCCCCACGTACGGTTTCTGGAGAGATGTACTTGAGGTCTTGGTGTCTGCCATCTACCGTCTGTAGGAGGAAGGCCTGAAGGGAAGAGAAGGGGAGGGGAGAGGAGAGGTGAGAAGGGGAGGGGAGGGGAAGGGGAGAGGGGAGGGGAAGGGAAGGGGGGAGGGAAGGGGAAGGGAGGGGGAGAAAAAAATCAAAGGACAAAGTGAAGTTGCTAACGCCAGGAACCTAGAAAGAATGGAGCTTCCTTCCCGAGCCCAGAGGCCACTCTGCTTTGGCCTTCAAATTCAGCTGTGGTTCTCACAGCAACCAAAACACATCTCCTGGGGCTGACACCAGGGAACAATTTCCCAGAAGTAAATGGAGTAGAACACACACACACACACACACACACACACACCCCTGCTCCAAGGCTCCACCAAGCCTGGGATGATGGGGAAAGAGACTGTATTAGTTTAGAGATGTTTTTCTAGGCTAAGGCATTACAGATGTCTGGGCAGAGCTGAGGTAGAGTCAGAAGACCAAGGAGAAGCAGGAGTCTGCCTGGGGACAAAGGCTGAAAAGACTCCCAGAACAAAGAAAGGAGGCCTCTGGGAGAGAAGAAGAACAGAAGTCATTCTTGGGAGAGGTGGAAGTTGGTAGCAGGTCAGGTTCCTAAGGGTAGAGTAGGGTACCTTGGAGTAATCTCCAATAAGCCCGCGGTGGTCACTGTCCAGGATGCTTTCAATCTCATCATGACACAGGGACTTTGAGCGGAGGACCCGGGCTCTCTGGAAGGTGAAGCAGATGGAGGCCAGAGTCAGGGGTGAGGAAGCCCCTCAGTGTCTCATCTGCCTGGGACCTCCCTTTCTTGCCCTGGCCAGGACACTACTAGCCCTTGATCATCTGCCCCAAATCCAGACAAGAAGGTGACAGCTAGGAGTTCCCCCACCCCCTACCCATTTGGGGGTGCTGGCAGTTAAGAGCCAGGCTCCTACAGGAAGTCACTCACAGGTTCCTCAGGCTGCTGCTGCTCCTCTGGGAGGGTCACACTCCTCCTCCGCTTGCTCTGGACTGGTATGTCCTTATCCTGGGGTCGTTCAAGCCTCTTGAGGATGGGCCGGATCACGGTGCAGGGCATGGATGGAGAGCGGAAGAGCCGCTGGCACTTGCTGAACATGATGAGGTCCTGGCAGGGGTGGCAGGTGAGTATTCAGTCCCCCAACCTCAAATCCCACCTCCCCAATCCCAAGGTTTTTTGAGGTCATATCAGAGGCCCACCTGCTCCTCTTCCTTATCCAAAGTCTTGACCAATGGGGCACTGATGAGGCTCTCCATTCCTGGGGGGACCGCATCATCCTAAGCCCAAATCAAGGAGGACAGGGTCACAACCACAGGCAGGGGCCAAACCTCTCAAGGCCCTGTACCCTCCAGCACAGCCTTCAGGGTTCTTCCAGCAAACACCAGGCCTGCAGCTCACTGCCCCAGACCTCAGCACTGCAGGGATCCACTCGTAGCTGGGACTTGCCTCAGAAGCCCCTCACCCTGCCCTGCCTCCCCTCCACTGTGGAACCAGTCACTTCCTCTTCTCTGATTGGCCAGAGATTAGGTCAGGACTCAGTTACCTCAAATTCTCCTTCTGAACCTGGGGTGCAGTCACAGTCTTCCTGAAGGGGCTCAGAGCTCTCCTCTATGGATGTCCTGGGGAGGTGGAGGCAGGGCCTGGTGGCCAAGCTTGCTTACCTTTAAATCACTCTCCAGGATGTCGACAAATCCATCATCTTCTTCAGCCCCCTCAGAAGGGCTCAGGGAGAAGCAGTGAGACTGGGCCCTGGGGCTCAGCTCCTCCACTTCCATCTTCCTCTCAGGAGTACAGCACTGTTGATAGTGAGACAGATATGGTCCCTGCTCTATCCTCTGGGGACAGGTCCCCAGTGCCTGGGGGCGCTACACCATCCTTGCCTTCTCAGGGCTGCATCTTTAGGGCCCTTGTTTATTTTTATTTTATTGAGAAATAAATACGAATGAGACAGTTTCAAAGCTGATTAATAGGACAGTTTCGATAATCAATACATTGTACATTGTTATCTTCTTAGTGGTTATCCATAGTACAAGCACCAGACAGGATATCCTGTCCAAACACTATTACTACAAATCTATCTTCTCATTGAATTAAGCAAAAGTAGCTGTATATCTATCCTATTTTGTATATATAAATACAAAATGATTTTTCCTTTGTATCTCCTTTTTTTCGTTTAGTACTGTCAGAGGTGAATATTCTATTGGCATCTAAATACTAAGGTGTTTGAATTCAGCTAAACAATCCAACACTGTCCAGCAGTCCATAATAGTAGTGGGTTATCCTCAGAAGTTATTGACTTGAGCCTTTTACAGCTCATTGTATTAATATGGCTTTACTTTTTTTTTTTTTTTTATTTATTTTTTTGTGTGTGTGTGTGTGTGTGTGTGTGTGGCCACCTCAGCCCACCACAGGGTGGGGCTGGCTGGCATGTGGTGCTGGGGGATTGAACTGCGGTCCCTGTGCTTTGCCAAGCTTGTTCTAAGTAGGTGCTTTAGACCACTGAGCCATCTCACCAGCCCATGGCTTTACTTTATATACCTCGTTCTTATACTTTTCTGCAGGATGGTTAAGACCAAGATAAAGCAAGACCTATATAACAAGAAATGTAACTTATGTATCTGATAAGGTCAGTCAAGTATTCTCAGTATTTATCCTGTAGTCCTTGTACCACACTTTGTAGATCCTTTGTCAGTGTCAACCATGAGGATGAGTCATGGCCATTGCTTGACCAATTTGCTCTCTGTGAAAGCCTGAGAGAATGTTTTCTCTCCATGTCAGTCTCCACAGGCATACTATGTATACATCATCGATCACATTCCTCTGTGGCTCCATAATCTCCTTGATCAGAAAATTTGGGGCACAACTGAGTTACATGCTGTTATAGCACAGGTTCTCCTATGTCCCGAGTCAAGTGCCCTCTCTTTACCATCAGGTTTGGAGCTGAGCTTGGCCTCTGGGTAAAGGCTTCTCTGCGGCTAGCCCACTCTGCCAGGGCATAAGCAGGGTTGGGAGGTATAGGCTTCCATGGCATCTTGAAAACAAATCCCTCCTGTGGGCAAGATGCGAGAAGTGTCACCAGATGCCAGGGAACCACCCCAGCCTGCCCCCTTCTCTCCTGAGCGCTCCCTTGTAGGCCACAGAAGCGCACGTTCTCCTTATCCTCGCCAGGGCTGCTGGCAGCTCTGCCACCGGCCTCGCTCTTGCTCCAGCGGTCTAGTGCTTCAGAGTTGGTGATGTTTCGGAGCACAGGGCTGTGGCCCAGCAGCCTTACCTGGGGAGGACAGGGCTGTACTGGAGGCAATGTTCTTCAGCCACCAGACTAGGAACTCCTTTTCCCCCCTGTCCTCCAGCTCCCCCAGCCACCCAGAAAATCATCTCCCTGACACAGCCAATGAACACTTGGCTACATCAAGCCCCCGCTCTGAGAGGGACACAGGATGCCTCCTGCCCCTACCCAGCCAACATACATAAGCCTCCAACAGGCCACAGGGAACACTCACTGGTAAGGATTGGAAGCGTCTGATGGCAAACTGCTCACTGCAGAAGGAAGCAGGACCAGGTCAGGGCAGAAATGGGCAGCAGGGATCAAGAGCAGGCAGGATGCTCCTGCACTAGAGCCCTCTGCACCTCTGGGGCAGAGCTTCTGATGGGCAGAAAGGGCAGGAAGCACATACCTTCGCATGACCTGGCTGGCTGCCTGGATGGCTTGTTCAAACCTAGGAGAGAGCAGATGGCACCCATCTTCCCCTACGGCCCTCAACGCCCAGCAACAGGGGTAAAGACAGGACCAGAGCTCAAGACAGGAAGGGGAGAATCAGGAGGAAGCCTGCTGTCAGAGGCCCAGGTGGGGGGATGACAATGAGAGGCTGCCTGGGAGTTTAAAAGGCAGTCCTGAATAGAAGGGGGCCCACAGAAGGCAGTGAGGACAGCTGGGCCAGGTCGCAGGGTCACTGAGGCGTCACCAAGGCAACAGTCTCACCAGCCTGCACACAGGCCTTCCACCTGTATGCAAATCACCCAGCAGGGCTATATGGCCCCTGGGAAAGGCATCCATCCATCTAGGGATGATGTGCCACAGGCACCCAGCAATGTAAGGTCTGCAGGAGTGGACCCCAGAAGCTTGGGCTTCCCTCCCTTTGTGAAGAGTTGGCCTAGCTTTCTCCAGGACAGGGGCCTGCTTTAGTGGGGGCCATAGCAGACCACCCCCAGCCACAAATATACAGGGTCACATCCTCTCCTCCCTCCTGTGGAATTGTCCAGGTCCCACCCCCACCCCCAAGAGGCCAGCAACAAGAAATTCCAACAGATGGTTCTGCACGGTTTGCATGGAGACTGGGCATAAGCTTCTGGAGAGAGCCCCTCTCGGCCCAGGCTCTGTCGCCAGGGGCCGCCTGCCAGCAGGAGCTTTTTGTGTATCCAAACACACACACACACACACACACACTACAGCTTCTGAGGCTGGAAAAGCATCAAAGCAGGTACAGGGATGGCAGGCACTAGGGGCTAAAAAGTCGAGGCATGCCCCTCCCCACTCCTAGCCCAACTGGCATCAGGTAAGACTGATTCATTTAATTTAGTTTCCAATCTGCACCTGGGCCTTAAGGGTAAGGCCAGAACAACTACCAAAAACCAACCTGCCATCTTCTTCTACCCCACCCATTTGTTTCCTGTTTGTGACAAACCTTGTACCCAGACCAGTCTGAACAAAGACAATGGGAAGAAACACAGTCACTACACTAGACAGTCGCTCAGCTCAGGCTGTGGGAGTCCAGCTGTCCCCACTAATAGCTGGCAGCTGCTGTGCCTGCTGCGATCTTAACAGCTGGATGGGAACAGCTGTGCTCTGGAAGGCACTCCCCATGCCTTCTAGCTGAGGAGAGGTGTATGCACACAGAGCCCAGCAACTTTCTCTTTCCCTCAGGTCCACGGGGTGATTAGAGTCAAGTGGCACTGAGGCCAGAAGTTGCTGATAGGCCAGGGGCCAAACCAGTCTGAAAGCAACTGATTATTGATTGCAGTACCGGGGATCAAACTTGGGACCTTGCACTTACCAGGCAGGTGCTTATGCCACTGAACTATCTCCCTGACCCAGCAACTGATTTTGATTAGCCTAGAATGAGCTGAAATTCTAAATCAGTTGGATTTTTTTTCTTCTCATTACTGGGCATTGAACCCAAAGACTTTAGTCTTTATTTTGGGACAAGGTTTTATTCAGTCACTAGGTAGCTCAGGCTGGGCTTGAATTTACAATCCTTCTGCCTCATCCTCCCCAAGTGCTGGGATTATATGCACATGCCATCACACCCAGACTAATTGGACCATATTTTTATTGTTTATTTTATTTATTTATTTAATTTTTTTTTGGCGGAATCGGGGATTGAACTCAGGCCCTTGCACTTGCCAGGGAAGCACTTATTCCACTGAGCCATCTCCCTGGCCCCCTGGACCATATTTTTAAATTAGGTATTTCACATATGTACTCAATAGGGGATCCTAAGGGTTCTATTTTCCTAGGCCTCTCAGTGAGTCTGTGCGAGACCTAAGATTCTGAAAGGTATCAAGGATCTAAGATGCTGACCCCTTGGTGGCTGGGACTCCCCTTTTCCTACTCACATCTGCTCTGCCATCTGGGGGTCCATAGGGCTGGGGGAATCCATGCAGAGACCTGCAGGGACAGAATGTCTTGGTTTGAAAGTAGAAGCATTTTCTGTATACTTCCCTCATCATGCCTGAAAAAGGAGGAAAGCCTTTAGGTTTGGACATACTACATAATGAAACAAAAACCTACTCAGAGACCTTTAGGGGATACATTGTCCCCCAAAAGGGCACAGGGTTTTCCTTTACTATAGAACTCCAGTTTGCAAAAAACTACAATGCAAGTCAGGTGTGGTGATGCATGCCTATAACCCCAGCATTCTGGAAGGTAGAGGCTGGAAGACTGCAGGTTTGAGCCCATCCTGGGTAACTTAGCAAGACCCTGCCTCTAAATAAACAAACAAACAAACAAATATTTTTAAAGAGCTGGATAAAACTCAGTACCAAGGCCTTGGGTTCACTTCCCAAAGCTATACAAACAATAAAAAAAAACAAACACAATACTACAATGCCTTCTAAGCTCTTTTTTTTAAAAAATGTATTTAGTACAGGGTTTACACAGTCTCACTACACAGATCGGACTCAGCGATCCTCCTGTTTTCAGCCTCCAAGCAATGGGATTACAGGCACAGGCCACCACACCCAGTGCCCAGTCTCAATCAATGTCTCAGTGCACTGTGGGGGTGGGGCCAGCACAGCAGGCAGAGGATTGAACCCCAGTCCCTGTGTCTGCTTAAGCAGGCCTTTTAATCCACTGAGCTATCTGGCCGACCCCTTCTTTTCTTTCCTTTTTTGAGACAGGGCTTCACAATGCAGTTCAGGCTGGCCTTGGATTTGCAGCAATCTCCCTGCCTCAGACTCCTGGATTCTGGGATTATGGGTGTGCATCAGCACATTTGGGAGTCTAAACATTTTTCTTAAACTGGTTTAAAATAATTTGGAAGAGAATGGTTTTCTAAAGAAAAAAGTTACAGATTAAGAGAATGTCAACTTCAGCCCTCAGTGGCACAGGTGGGGCTGTGGTTTAGACTTTGGCGCCAGTCTACTAGGTAAGATCTCTCCTCACTTGGGGCCCCACCCTCCTGGGCTCAGCAGTCTAGGCTGTGTGGTGAGCACCAGTTAAGAGGTTGTCTTCCTCCCACTTCTGGGCAGAACACAGGAGGCTGGCCTGCCAGCCCACCAGGTTGTGAAAAGATCTCAATCTGATGGGCAGGGAAGTCTGGGGGGCCACACAGTCCCCCCAACCCTCTCATATGGGGGGGCTCTCCCTAAGGACCTAGGACCCACCTGCATCAGAAGACTCTGAGGACTCAGATGACAAGGAAGATTCGGACGCCCGTCGGGACAACGATCTGCGAGTCAGGCGATTTCTCAGGGGCAAGGTCCCTACCTGACAAGTTGGGGGATCGCTGGGAAGGGAGAAGGGACCCAGGAGAGGAAAATGATAAATGCGGGGCTCTGGGACTGGCCACTATGCACCAGCCTCCTCAGAGCCCAAGAGGGAGCGCCCCAGGAGGAACAATCCTCTGACATGGTGCCAAGGAGATCAGTCACCAGCCTGCCCTCTTAGGCCAACGTGACTCATTATGGTGAGGCCTCCAAGTGTCTTCCCTTGGTTAATTACATTAGGAAGATCTAGGAGCAGGGTGAGAGGAGCCCAGGGCAAAAACGAGGGGCGGAGTAGGGAGTGAGAGAGTGGGGCCACCAGCCCAGGGATTGGAGTCAGGGGCAGCTAAGTGGTCCTGAAGAGCCATCCACTCCTTCCTGGAGTTCAGTTCAAAATTTGAGTCTCTAATGCTGTTGGGACAACGCTCCCGGGCTGACTTCGGGAATCGGGTTAGCCTTTAATCTCAGTAACCCTGGGGGCAGAATGGAGTTTGGGCCTCAGGGAGGGACTGGAACCTTTGAGAACCAAGATCGTTCCCCTCGGGATCCTGTGCCTGGGGTAAAATGGTGGCAGTTGGGGTAGACGGATTAGAGACAGAGCGGTGGAGGTACAACGAGAGAGAAGGGAGGGAAAAGAGGCCACCTGGGGGTGTGAGCCGCACAATCCCGGTCTCAGTGCCCTTGTCCTCGGCTCCAGAAGCTGGGGCAAGGGCGCCCCATTGCTCTGCGCCGACACCTCCCGGCTCCACCTGCTGGATTCCGCGGTTCCCATGTCCAGCTCCCCAGGACCCTGGCCCGGGCTTCTCACCCCACGCCCAGCCTTTTGGGGGCGCCCTACCTGCCGAGCCCAGCGAGTTTGTGCATGGTCTGGGTGAGGGTGGTGACCGGAGAGGAAGAGGTCGCGCGCTCCGGGGACCCCAGGAGACCCTGAGGGCCCAGCTGTCGCCTGGGGATGTACCCCGTGCGCTGGGCGGCAGTGCTCTCGCCGGCCGGGCTGAGAGCTGAGCCTGGCGCGGGCTCCTCCATCGCTGCGGGGCCGGCTGCAGAAGCTGGGCACAGCTGGGCTGGTCAGTGAGGGAGTGGGCCGGGGCGGGAGGAAGGGGAGGGAGGAAAAGCAACGGGCCAGGAGCGAGGGAGACAGGGAGGAAAGGGATGCGGGGAGGGTGGGGAGGGGTGATGGGGCGCGGGGTACAAGGCTCAGGCTGCAGTCCGGGAAGCCTCTGGCTGCAGCTGCCACCTCCACCTCCTTATATATTCGAAAAATAACAGCGGCCGCGCCGCCAGACGCCACCAATGGGGGCGCGGGGTGGTGGAGGGCGGGCCCAAGGGCGGGGCCGCGGGGTAGAGCGCGGGGCCGGATAAACCCGGTTCACCCGCTGCCAGGCTCCGGGTGCTGCCATGGGTTGGGGTTTATCCCCCGCCCCCCCAGACCCCTTTCCTCCCTCTGCTCCTGATCCCAATTCTGCGTAGTGTCTCCTCTTGGGACACGGTTTGGGGCTACATATGCTCCGAAAAAGCAGCCATCCTCGATGGTCTCAGGACACGCGCTGTTAACATCGCGCGCGACCACCCGTGGGGACAGTGACACGCTCCACCTGGCTCCGGGAAGTTGTTCTAGCACAGCTGTGCCGCGTGCTCTGCGTGCCCCCTGCGTTTTGCAACCGGTTCTTTAACTGGGTCAGGAGCACACATTCGGACGAATGGAGGAGCCCAGATATGCGCGCTCCCTGCTCGCGGTGCCCAGGGCCGCCCACTCGCAGAGGCAGAATGGGTGGGCGCTTCCGGCGGGGAGCAGGCTCGACGGCTCCCCAAAGGGCCCAAGCTTCTCTTAGTCATAATTCTGCTGTGGAGAGTTAGGAGGCCAGAGAGCCTAGTTAAGGAAGGATATCATACTCATTGATGGCTTGGATTTGGGGTCAATGGCAGCGTTAATTAGGGTTTCTTTGATGTTGAAGGTGGCTGAATTTTTCATTAGTTTACAATGAGCGTTTTCTAATTATCCAGTCACCTTCCAGCCGAGCCTATTTTCCTGGAGGAAGCAGAGAAATCTGCATCCCAAAGCTAGTGGAGCTTCTGCCTCCCAGGGAAGTCTTGACCTCTGGTGAGGTGGGGGCAGTCCAAACCCACGGTGCCAGTCGTGGGGGGGAGGGGACACAAAGGGAGGACCGGCAGGGGGAAGCACTGGATGGGTTAGGTGACTGAGGAAGACATAAAAGAGAAGACCGCAGCCTACCTGAGAGCTGACCAAGGTGGCGCTGCACCCTTGCTTTTTCTCAGTATTTGGCCCAGCTCCTGTACTATGCAAGGAGGGCACTTCCGGTTATCCGCCGTGGGCCAGGGGTTAAGTTTGGAACCTCCAGCCGCCAACCACAGGAGGGTGAGGGCAATGGACATCCTGTGAGGCCTCCCTGCAGAAATAAACTGCCTTGGGTCGGTGAGATAGCTCAGAGGTTTAAAGTGCCTGCTTGGCAAACTGAGGCAGGCGAAGGGACCACGGTTCAATCCGGTTCAATCCCCGGCACCACAAACCAGGCCAGCCCCGCCCTCAGGGCGGGCTGAGCCGGCCAAAAATAAATAAAAATAAACAATAAACTGCCTTGAGGGTGGAAGGTTGTATTTTCAAAGCCAACATAGCAGGGTCGACCCCCAGCACCACTCCTACCCAACACTTACATCCCACATATGGGTTGTGTTGATTTGAAAAACGCTTTAAAATCCCACGGGGGGGGGGGGGGGACACAGAAGGAAGTCCTTCAACTCTGTTTTCTTGAATTACATCATAGAATATGTGCTCAATTAAAACAAAAATAAAGGGGTTGGGGAGATGGCTCAGTAGAATAAGTCTTATTTTTACTATTTTGTTTTTTGGTACCGGGAATTGAACTCGGGGCCTCGCGCTTGCTAGGCAGGCGCTGCACCACTGAGCCCAGGCTTAGTAGAATAAATGCTTCCCTGGCAAGTGCAAAGGTCTCAGTTCAAGTCAGAACTATTTGCAGCCATCATAGTAAGAGGACCAATTCCTTCCAGCCAGCCAGGCTCTGGTTACCACACTTGTGGGGTGCAGAGGTCTCCGTCTTCCTCTGTTTTATTTATTTATTTATTTATTTATTTATTTATTTATAGATAGGGTCTTGCCAGCTAGTTCAGGAGGCCAGCCTTGAACTCACTATGTAGCCCAGGCAAGTCTTGAACTGGCAGTGGTCCCCTGCCTCAGCCTCTTGAGTGCTGGAATTACAAGTGTCTGCCACCACGCCCGGCTCCATCTTCTTCTGGAAGCAAACACCCTGGGACTGAGCATATGAAGCTGTAGGCTCTTTCAATGTGTCTGGTGTGGCTCTGGGGTCTGGGCAGAAAGAGAAAACACTGCCTCTTGTTTCCAAAATTCCTTCAGCTTTTCCAGCTTGCTCCTACACAGCATTGCCTTTGTGGGGCTTTTTACCTTGGTGGAACTTTTTCCTAGTGTTTCTGTTGTTGTTTCTACAGTATTATGGATTGAACTAAGAACCTAACAATGAGCTCTATCTCCATCTACCCATGTATCCACCCACCCACCCATCCATCCATCCATCCATCCATTCATCCGAGACAGGGTCTCAAATAAATTGCTAAATTGCCCAGGCTAAGTTCAAATTTGAACTCTTGTGTCTCAGCCTCTCAAGTGCTGGGATTCCAGGCATGTACCACCACACCCAGTTTAAATGGTTTTTAAAGCCAGGTGTGGTGGTGCATGCCTGGAATCCCAGCACTCTAGAGGCTGAAGCAGGATGATCATTGTGTGTTTAAGTCCAGCCTGGGCTATAAAGTGATTTCAAGGCCAGCTTGAACTGCATAGTGAGATCCTGTCTCGAAAAGAAAAAAAGGTTTTAAAAAGGTGTTACATGCCACCAAACATGTAGGTAAAGGAGAAAAAAAATTACCAGGAATCAAACTTACAACTAGTGCTTGCCTGCCAGGCAGGTGCTGTGCTGCTAAGCTATATCCCTGGCCTGAGAAGGATATAGCGTAAATGGTACAAAAAGGCATTGGAAACTCAGACCAGGATTTCACCCAAACCTTTAGGACTTCTCCCCAGAGGCAGCCACTGTTATAAACATGCCACATATTCCCTTGAGACCCCAACAGACACATAAAAGGCACAAATGTGAGCCACATGTGAAATTTAAAATCTAATAGTCCTATTTTTTTTTAATTTTTTGTTTCTTTTCTTTTTTCTTTCTTTCTTTCTTTCTTTTTTTTTTTTTGTGGAACTGGGGATTGAACTCAGGCCCTTGTGTTTGCCAGGGAAGCACTTATTCCACTGAGCCATCTCCCCGACCCTAGTAGTCCTATTTTAAAAAGTAAAAGAGCACTGGAGGTATAACTTAGTAGTAGGGCACTTTTCTAGCATTTGTGAGGCATTCAGCTCAATCCCTAGTACACCCCCTAAAAAAAAGTAAAAAGATTTTTTTTTTAAGATGAGACTATTTTTATACTTAACATAGTACATTCAAATTATTCAACACATCAACATACTTTTGTTTGATACCAAGTCTTCATATCCAATATGTATTTTACACTCAAAGCACACCTCAGTTTCCACCTGGTGCATTTCAACAGCTCCCGAGCCACACAGGGTTACTGGCTTAAATACTGGACAGTGTGTAGGTCTATATGTTTGCAAACAAATATATGCCTATTTTTATTTTTATTTATTTTTTTTTAAATTTTATTTATTTGTGTGTGTGTGTGTGTGTGTGTGTGTGGCCAGCTCAGCCCACCAGGGGGCGGGGCTGGCTGGCATGTGTTGCTGGGGGATTGAACCCGTCCCTGTGCTTTGCTAAGCTTGTTCTAAGTAGGTGCTTTAGACCACTGAGCCATCTCACCAGCCCCTAGATGCCTATTTTTAAAAAGAATACAAACAGAAAAGGTACACAAACAGTACATAAACATTGTTTCCAAACTTTTTAAATTTTACTTGAAGATTTTTTTTTTTTTAATTTTTGCGGAACCGGTGATTGAACTCAGGTTGTTGTACTTGCCAGGGAAGCGCTTATTCTACTGTGCCATCTCCCCAGCCCTGAAGATAAATTTATACTCACATCATAATGACCTTTGTTTACTCTAATCCCTATGCTAAACAGGTAGGTTATTAAACTGACTGATTGATTATACCAGGATTGAACCCAGGACTTTTGTACTAAGCTACATCCCCTGCACTGTTTTATTCTTTTATTTTGTGATAAGGTTTTGCTAAATTGTCCTGGCCAGGCTCCAGCTTCTGGATCTCCTCCCTCAGACTCTCAGAGTGCTGGGAATCCAAGGTGTGCGCCATCCACCACACCTGCCGTGACACAGCAGCGAGGCCTCAGCTGCTACTAGTCTCTGTAGAACAGATTCCTACTGTGCTTGCGGGAAAGTACAGCACTGCACATTGAAATCTTTTTTTCCCTTTCCCTGAATTTTACCTCCTTAAGCCTCTTCTAGTCTCTCAGCACTGCAGATAGGCCAAAGCCACGGATGGCCTCTGAACTCAGTGTTTTAATTGTTTAGGTCTGTCTCTGTGTCTGTCTGTCTGTCTGTCTGTCTGTCTGTCTGTCTGTCTTTCTCCCTCCAGTGCTGGTGATTGAACCTAGGCCCTCATACATAGTAGACAAGTGCACCACTACTAATATATCCCATATCTCATTTTATTTTGTGACAGAATTTCACTAAGTTGTCTAGGCTGACCTTGAACTTATGATCCTCCTGCCTCAGTCTCCCAGAATGCTGGCATTATAGGCACATATCACCACACCCAATGGAGCTGCTTTTAAGGAGAAGGCAAAAGTGCGAACAGAGGTTTTTCTCCTTGTATACCCAGATGAACATACAAAGGGCCTGAGTTCAATCCCTGGTTCTGCAAAAAAAAAGAAAAGAAAGAAACCACACATATGTGCTGTCTGAGGTAGCCATTTCCAGATACCTGGTCTACCTGTCGCCTATATCAGTGCACAGCACCCACTCCCGTGAAATGACCACTTCCCTACCATCACTGTGAGGTCCTGGGAGCCCTCACCTCCTCTGTAAGCCCCATCTTCTTCCTGTCAGATCAGTTAAGGAAATTCAGTCTGCCTTCTCAACAGGCCTCAACAGGGCCCATCCCACCTACCAAACCCTGTCCTTCACACCCATCAGTAAGTTTTTCATTCTCTTGCTCATTTTATTCCATCCCCTTTTTCATTTTATTTATTTATTTTTGTCTTGTTGAGACAGAGTCTCGCTATGCAGTTCAGGCTGGCCTTGAGCTCACTTTGTAGCCCAGGCTGGCCTCGGACTCACAGTGATCTTTCTGCCTCAGCCTCTAGAGTGCTGGGATTACAGTCATACACTCAGCTCCCCCTTTTCATTTTTAAGGGCCTATGCTACTTATTAAAGAAAACTTGAAACATTCAGCAAAGAAGGGAAAAATAGTCCACCACAGTCTATCCACCTAACAGACACCGAAATTGGGACACCTCTGTGTGCATGAGTAAAGCTTCTAAAATGTAGACAGTTTCCTGAAGAGGCACTGGAGGGAGCCCTCAGCCAGGTGGGATCAGTCACACCCACCTCTCATATCCAAAAGACGGCTCTAAACTCAGCTAAAGGAAAAGTGACAAACTGGGAAAACCACTTGCAATAGAATTAGCAAAAATTTTATGTTCTAGCTAGGAGTAGTGGCTCATGCCTGGGATCCCAGCACTCAGAGGAGGCTGAGGTACCAAAAAAGAAAAAGAAAGACGGACAAGAGAAACATAGGCAAAACAGGACTAGAGCATCTGCAGGACCCAAATGCCCAATAAACACATGAAAAGACAAATGCACACTAAAATAGCAGCAAGCTGGGCTTCTCCCCTGGCTTCCAGAACACCATACTGGTTTCCCCCATGCTTCAGATGCTCCTTGAGAGGCTATTGCTGGGCCTGTCTTGAGCCCTTCATCTTGAAGCACCCAGGTATTGTTCTTGGTCTTCTTTCTTCTTTGTGTATATCTATTCACTTGAAGCTTTCCCTAGCTGGCCCCCGCACCCAGCATGCCCACTCCTCAATCTGTCTCCTTGGGTTGCTGCTTTTACAGACTTTTTTTCCCCCCCGGAAGTGGGGTTTGAACTCAGGCCCTAGCGCGCAAGCCCCCTTTACAGACTTTTGAGAGCACTGCATTCGTTACTGTAAGAACTGCTCGTTCTGATGTTTGGCTTTGGAGGAGTTTCAAGGATTTATGTGTATATATGCTTATGTATATGCAGGACGTTATTTCTATAGGTACAAACACATGTATTTATGGATATACACAGAGCAAAACTTAGAGATACACTGAGATGTTATCAGTATTCAGGCAGCGTGAGAATGCTAGAATTTTCTAAATGTCATTAGCACCAGTGGATAGATTTAAAAGTACCTGTATAGCGTATCTATACAAATAAAATAATAAATGTGTAACAACAGCTTACAGAGTTAAGTTCATCCATACTTGGAACAATATATAACCTTTAAAAAGCATGCTGGCAGTGACATTTATCAAGATGGTACAATTCTCATCACTCCATGCCAGCTAAACTAGGAGGCGACGCCAGATACACGGTCTGTAGCCTGACGCCAGTTTTATACATTTTAAAACAGAAAACTGCCTGCGCCTAGCGAAAAGCCTGGAAGGAAATACATCCACATGTTACCTGTGCATCTCTCCAGGTGCTGGCATGGAAGGCGATTCTTAGCTTCTGGTTTGTTTTATTGGTGCGGATTTCTTTTCTTTTTCTCAGTTTCTTCAAAATTGCACAGTAATTTTATCTCGAATTTTTTAAAAAAGAAAAGACAAAGATGACTGTTCTTTTCCTGCGGTAGGTCGCAGTCCACCTGGCGAGGCAGCGGCTGCCCGCCCCCCCGTCGGTCCAGCGGGCCGCAGCGCCCCCGGCGGCCGGTCCGCGGCGGCTGGAAAGGGGTGGGCGCGCAGGACCGGG